TGATGGCTGGCAGTCCATCATGATAATGAGAATGAGATTAAATCTAGGGGTCATAACCAGAATTTAATATTTCTGTTCATATTGATTACTATCTAAAAACTTGATGTAATCCACTGGAGATGTGTTTTGTAATATGTGTCCCAATGTTTCTTCTAGGTTGATAAATGCTGATTCATTGTCATAGATTTTAATTAATTGTCATGGTCAACACATTGTCCTTTAACGGATCTCCCTGTCTACCCAAAAAGACCACTAGTCACAGCCCATGTCATCAAGATGGACTGTCAGCCATTGCACTATTGTTTTTTATTATTTTTTTTTCCATCTATAAAATGAACTGTGCCTCCAATCTAACTACATACCTAACGGTTCCTTTTCCTCACCTGTTTCTATGTCAGGTTACTCTTGGAATCATCTCAGTTGAATGTCTTTGTGTTATTATTGCAGGACACTCACATGGAGGTGGTGGAGAGGAGGATAGTAGTGAAGACAGTGATGTGACAGAGCCCCTGAACTCGGACGTCCCCCTGGAGGTGGTGTCCGTAGAAGATGGGAAAGCTACGGAAGGCGCAGATGGCACACCCAACTCTAATGAGATAAAAGCAGGCCAAACAGAGGGCAGGGATCATGGCCACGCGCATAAAAGAGGGCATGGGCACTCGCATGGAGGCAAAAAAGCTAGTAAGTATTATAGTCTATTATAGAAGCAGTTGATATTTGTGCTTCAGGTCACGTTACGTATGATTATGCATCGTCTCTGAGAATTGGCTACATGTGGTGTGCGTTAATAAAAAAAAAAACTTTAAACTAAGAAGTCAATCAGAATCTGCAAAATATTGCAGGAGATATGTATAGTTCATTTTTGCTTATTTTTTAGGTTCTGCTGCTCAACTCAACATGCGAGGTGTATTCCTCCATGTGTTGGGGGATGCCCTGGGATCTGTGATTGTTATCATAAGTGCACTTGTCATCTGGTTTGTTGAAGATGAGTCTTGGAAGTACAAAGTTGACCCAGCAATGAGGTAAAAAAAAAAAAAAAGACTCCAGAGTCTCTGAGAGAGAGAGAGTGAGAGTGAGTCTCTCTCTCTCATGTACTGATCATGTATTTTGGTTCAGACAACTTAACTGATTTGATGATGTATCATACATCTTTCATGCTCTTATGCACTGTTCATTTGTATTGAAACCAATGTACACTGATAACTGTTATTAACTCCTGCTTTATATTTCCAGTATCTTGCTGGTGTGCATTATCCTGTCAACCACTATACCTCTGTGTAAGTATTCAGAAACTAATGGAAATTGAGACAAGTTTCATTGAGTCTGTAAATAATATCGCAGAGAATTTATGAAAATCAGAATCTTACTTTTTTGGAATGTTGTTGAGGGTTTTGGCAGAAATGGATATAGGAATTGCCTTGTAATTCAGAATGCTAAGTATTGAATGACAGCATTTTGTGTTTAAGTTGGATTAAAGTGGATATGTTCTTGCAAGTTAGAAGCAATTTGAGGCGTCTTCTTTATGTGCTTATAAATGTGTACTTATTAATGGTTATTATCAATTCTAAGATAAGGCTACTAATGACTGGCAGTGGGCTGTTGGCTGTCATTTACCAGTACATTAATTTTCTAAATCTTTTTTTCAGTAAAAGAATCTGCTTTGATTTTACTGCAAACTGCCCCAACGCATATAAGGATACAGGATATCCAGGAGAAACTTATTAAAAATGTGAGTATATATATCGCGATAATTCATGATCCCTAGAGTCAGCTGTGTGAATTTAGTGCCATCACTTAGTGCAGATTAAGCACTTGCTGATGGTGCACCATGTTGTACACATTGATATCATATATCATGCCAGTTTCTGCTGTTGGCAGCTTCAGATTATGATCTTAACTGCAATGCCCCGTTACTGAAAAACTGCGATTACTCAAAAAAATAATAAAAATAAAAAAAAAGTGGTGATCCCTAAGAAAAGGGGAGAAATGGCCAGGAGGGCTAACCTTGAATCCACGTATGTTTCAGGTTCCTGGTGTACTAGCAATCCATGAATTCCACGTGTGGCAGTTAACTGGGAACAGGATCATTGCTACAGGGCACATTCAATGCCTGAACCTCAGTGAATACAAACGTATTGCAGAGGATGTCAAACAGTTCTTCCATAATGAGGGAATACACTCCACAACTATTCAGCCTGAGTTTTTGGAGGTGGGTATGCAATTTGGAGTAAATTAAAGATGGCATGAAAAAGTAAATTGATTTGCCTTTGAGAGTCCTGGCCATGTTTCTTTCTTTCAGAAGAGACAAAGAAAACCATGAACAAAAGATTTTGGTTTTTATATTTAATATTAAAAAGAAATAGTTTGCTGTAGAGATTTAAATATGGAACGAAAGGAAAAACTTTTATTATGGTGAAGTTTAAATCAATCAGTATATTGAAATGGAATCATTCATGATTTTAGACTGGGAATGATGGAGATGTGATGGCCAATGGAAGGGCGTGCGCACTGGAGTGTGGCCCAGGAAAACCTTGCTTTCCTAACACCTGCTGTGCCAGGAAAGAAAATAACACCACTGGCAGTAGGGACCCAAGCCAAAGCCCGGACATATCAGATACAAGGAATGGAACACCTGCAGTTTCCCCAAAAGTGGACCACTTGGATGTGGGTCACGTTGGACCCCAAACAGGCGATAATATCAGTGGGGATGTCAACACAAAGCTTTGATACCATGGAGAAGACTTGGAACCTTTTTTTTTTTTCTAGCTTGTATTGAAGGTATATTTTATTGGAGCAGTCTCACTGCAGGTGACGAATATATTTGAGAACCACTGTGACACTTCATAGAGATTGAATGGAAGATGGCTGTTTGTTTTCTGTGTGAAGTTGCATTGCTCTCTGTGAACAGTGGGTTACAAGGGTTTTGGCTCGGTGGTACCTGTAATGACTTTTCTGCAGGGCAGATGAGTAGTGAAGTCTCGGAGACTGATTTGTATGTATTATTTAATTTATTTTCATTTTCATCTTATCTCTTTATCTCTGTTAGTAAGAAACCAAAGCATGAGCAGTGCGTTGTTTTTTTCTCTCCACTGGCAGAAGAGCGTGGATGTGTTGGAAGATTTCAAGCAAGTCTGCAAGTACACTGCATTCCCCTTAGCATTGAGTTTGATTTTTAGCAAGAGCAAGGTTCCTGTACTGCATTGGCTATCTAAAACACTGGTCTTAATACCATGACCAACCTTGATAGTTTGCACAGTAAGGTAACTGTTGTTTGTTGTATCATGAAGTATTTTTGAAAATGTAATAACAGCAACAACTTCATCTGGGATCAATAAGATTAATCAGGTTTAAATTGAGGACAGTATTGGCTATAATGTTTAATAGCATGACATACATTTAAGTGTGTTTGGTGTTCAGTGCTTCAAACTTTATCTTCATCAAATGTGAGGAGCTTTTTTTTTTTTAATCCAGAAACTTCTTTAATTTACATATGAAGAGAGCAGAGGCATATTATCATATGCAGAATTCATTGTGTTGCCACATTGCTATACTGAATATATGCCTAGTGAGATTTCTGTGAAATCTAATTTTTAGCCTGTTATATTTATAATACAAATCCTAAACAGGGTGATAGTAGAAAATTTGAGGATGACTTTACATTGTAAATATCACTGAGAATGTAAATATCCAACATTCTGAGTTGTAAACAATAGTTACTTATTAAATGTTTTTATTGTTTAAATAACTCTGCCACCACTTCAGTAACCATTTGCTTGACCCAGATTCGCCCTAATTTCCAGAGGTTACTGTAAGCTCACCTGTACATTATCTGCATGCCGCTTTTGCTTCCAGTAAATGAATGAAGATAATATGGATTTTCCAGTGGCCTCAGATAAGGTTGGACAAGGTGTGCTATTGCTGTGGCAATAAAAACCAGCATTTTGTGTCAAATAGGAACACCTAACTTTTCTAGCCTTCTGTGTGATTTTTAGACAACAAATTTCATTGCTTTCTTGATAACTTTTATGTATTCCTTAGGACATAGAGATTATGCATTTGGATCAGTCAAAAAAGAATACAGCAGTAGCACACCCTGTGCACCGAAAGTTTCAGAGGTTATTGGAAATTTCACCTGTGTATTATCAGCATGGTCCTGCCATTTTAAATATTTTTTAGCTTAGGGTGTCTTTGCCTAGCTATACCTTAGAAATTGCATTTGTTTAAATATATATTATATTGTTCTTTTTTTTTCACATGTCATTGTAGTCAAAAATTTAATATTGGCTGTTGAACTCTTAAATATGATTTTTTTTTTTTTTTTTTATTGTTGTTGTTGTTGTTGAACTGTGAAGTAATGCGAATATATTATGATTGCTTTAGCCAACGTCTCGGATGAGATTTAGATATGGTCCTAGCAAGAGGTAGTGTCTATTTTAGTATAATACGTATTACAAGAGCTCTTATTTCTAGTCTAGTACAACATCATATTCTGTATTTTGCTGGATTAATCTGTTGTAGCACCTTGATGACAGCTATTACTTGTAGTAAATATTTTCAATTTTCTGCACAAAGTAGGGAACTGAACTATTTTACCCAGAAACAAAATACCAGCTAGTCTGATTTTATATTATTACTGATCTTACTTCATTGGAAATATTGTTTTTATTATATTTTATGATTCTGTTGAGTTGTGTAATGTAAGATAATTTACTATATATATTACACAGAAAAATTAAAAACTATTTATATGAAGGATATTTGGGAGTTCTTTTTATCGTAAAGGAAGATTACAAAAGTTATCATTTCAAACAATTGATAACATTTAAATGCGGGGCATCTTCAATCATCTAAACTCTTGGTTAAGTATGTTGAATGTTTCACCAAAAAATTGTTTGCTCCATTTTGATTAGCAGACGTTGAAATTTTACCGATCCGAGTCCACTTCATACGCCAGGGTATGTGATCTGTGACAACCTCAAGCCGTGTCTTATATTTTTGGTTGATATGTACATCAAAAATGATCAAGTCATTTAAGAAATATTTGGACTTGATGTCATAATTGCATTCACGGTTATTCTCATCTATTTATCAGTATGTGCCCCTTTTCTCTTATCGTTCCAAACATGATATATAACATTCGTATTTTGTCAAGTTTTTTTCCCGTCCTTTCATTATCAACCGAGTATCTGTCAATGATACATCTACGCGGGTGTTATGAAACGCTTAGGTGGTGAACATTTGCTAATTAATTGTGCATTTATCGATTGTCAGCCTTTGTTTCACTAACAACAGATGGCAGCTTACGGAAGTTCCCGTTAATATATAAGGCCTAAGAACGAAGATTCAGAATATAAGCATATCCTTGTGTTTCTGAATAGGCCTCTTTGCCCACAATCACTATCACCACCATCCAATTCTTTAAAAAAGTGTTTAACAAAATGATTGCGTGTGCAAATAAACATTGTATTTTCCCAACGTTATGATGAGGGGTTATTTTCAATAAATTAAATATTTATCCACATGTGGGTTTTGTGCCATTAGTAGTCGCTTCTTAGTAAAGAAATGTATATGCTGGTTTTTTACGTGGATGAATGTAATCACAAAGTTTTATGAACCTAGATCCTACAATCAGTGTCTATATAGTTCATTGTATTAACGAACATGCATTATACATCTCCGTGGATGTCGTCGTAAGCACACTGCCAGTGTTGAGATTCCTGTTTAAATTGACTGTGCTCGTACATAGCTTTGTGTAGAGTCTAAACGATTCCTTGTAAGACATAAAACATTTTAGCCTGTATGAAATTCTTGCAAGTATTGTTAAGTCGAATACAATAAAATTTGATTCAAGTAAGTTTTCCTATTTCATACAGTGGAATCAGATTCCATGAGAGAATAAAACTTAAGGTTGTATTTGTAACAAGAGAATCCCTGGGGTCTCCGAACAGTCAGCAATTTTGAGTCAATTCAGTCAATCGCATACGGACCTTTTCTTCCTTGTCAGATTAGCCATAGCAAATCAATTTACCAATAGTCAGAACACCTCTTTCTTGCACATGATGAGCTGGCTGGTATGAACTTCCTGTAAAAGTGAGAATTTATTTTACCCAAACTGAAAACTTAACGTACTTATTTATCCTACATTAGGCCTAGATTCTACCTTTTGATGGTGACATATAAACCTTTTACGTTCAAGTATTTTAATAGCATATATGAACCTTATATATATAATAACTTAGATCGATTCTCATATATCCTTCAACATTCAGTTGTATTTGCATTATACGTGTTAATTTTTTTGTTGTATTTTAAAATAAATTATGAATACTATTATTATTATCATTATGACTGCATAAACAAATGGTGATCTACGCCACTTGCAACCAGCCACTTGCAACCACAGTTTTAAAAACTGCAATTTTGTAGAAAACATAGCATTTTTGTTTAGATCTTGATAACGGTCGAGCTAAAACTTCTTAACAAACAAAGGCCCGAAAGAAGACGTGAAGCGACTGCGGTCATGGGCATCGTGTAAAATTTTAACTCCTCTCCATTTTACTTAAACGAAAAAGAGTAACATGACACTGAAGAGTAACGTAATGTTTTATGTCGCGTCACTACAACTTCACTATAACTAATATAAAATTGATCTAAGTGACGTGTAAGGTTCCTACGGGCCATCGAACAGTAAAAGCTACCTGTATCGCCAATCTTGACACCGGTAATGGGGAGATCGGCTCTGTTGGTTACCAGCCCGGAGTCTTCTCGCCAAGTCTCGTCATTCTTGTCACAATGGCATTTCAAGTTGTCCACGCAAGATCCGGTCATGCCGCACTCGCACATACCACTACCCGGGGAGGCACCAGACCAATAGTTGGCCATCTCCAGTGACCGGGTAAGCCAGTACGTTAGGGTCATATTCTTCTCGGGGTGGTGAATGGCTGCTCCGAAACATTGCCACGAGAGGTATTGCTGGCAGTTCTGTGAAACGTCGACAAGTTTTGCCACTTGCTGCACAGAGGCTTTGTTGTAGGTAACATAACGGAATCCCTCTCCAGCACCTTCGAACCCTTGGATGTGGTTCTCACCTTCATTGTCATGACCTAACGAGATACAGTTACGAAATGGTTATACCTTGCAATTTTTTCGTCTAATTGTAAATATTTTACTCATTGTATAATGGCAGCATTTTATGGCAATATTACAGCAAAATGTCAGAATTCTAACATTCAATCATCTAAACATTCCTATCTATATGCAGGACCCAAAATAAATACCAAACGAAAATAATTAGTTGCTATTTAAACTTTGAACTGCCATCAAAATATATTTCAATTGCAATAAATGGGGACGCCTGGCGGACTCCAATCGTGTCCTTTGCTTCCATGCATTCTTACCTATGACCGTGTAAGATGCATCTTCTGTCAGGTTGCAGAACACCGGGAACTGTTCCAGCGGGCCGTCTGGGCCGTCGGGGTCCACAAAAGTTTCTGTGCTTTCAGAGAGACCACGTTTCTTCCACTGGTCACACGAAATAGCTGTTGTAAGAAACAGAAAACACGATACAAGGTAAGCAACTCGTTAGTACCGTTGGAATGGACAGGAAGGGTAATAAGCGCTCACGGTTTCCTGGATGCATATTACATGTATGTCCGAGCGTTATACCTAAAGGACCTTTACTTGGAGAAATTTCCAAACTTAAAACGTATCAGTGTCGTGAATATACCAGACTTTACCCGTAAATTGAAAATAATTATTAGATAAAAATTAATTAGATAAACATTAATAACGTGCCTGGTTCACAAGGGAAAACGTTGCACTTGATGTGGATGACCGGGTTGCCTTCACACTTGTTGTAAATGGTACAGCTCCTGGTTTTATACCGAACTCCTACCCCGCATGTTTTGCTGCATTGGCTCCAAGAACTCCACGAAGTCCATTCTGGAACTGTAACAAGTACATATAGAAATACAAACAGGAAGTGTGGAATTGGCACACGTGGTAATAATTTAAATGTGCACAATCTTAAACTTTAAACTACTGTGCATGCTTACAGGGAATCATACAAACATGTGAAGAGAGAAACTACATATACTTTGTTCTGACCGTTGATTTATGACATCATACAGCATATCACTACAACACAACACGTCTAGCTGTAAAATTGAAAACATAAAAAAAATTACAAAGGTACTGTAGAATAATCAAAAACACTAGTAAATCAAAAAGTAAAATTTTACGAAACCATTTTGTCTAAAACTTAAGTCATTTTCGGTATTGCAAGTGTGACATTACTTGGAACATTCTTATATTGAAAGTAAGAACTTACGGTATCCTTACTTACGGTATTAGAAGTGTGACATTTTAAAGAATGTTTTTGAACTGAACTTAAGAACATTTACGGTATTAGGTTAAACAAAGGTTAGTTCTTACAATAAGTGGTGTCAGCGGCTAAAATGTGCGGAGAAGTATACTGAAATACGTGCTTCAGATACGCTTTGACCTGAAAACGAGAACTAACAAAAAGTTCGCTGACACTGACCCTCCTAAACGATATCACTTTACACATAAACGCTAACAGAATTAGTTCGTGTTCAACTAAAAAGCTGTCTTGCGATCAAATATAGTGTTTTAAAATACAATTACAAATGGTTACCCGTTATAATACAATGAAATACACCAGGCAAAGCATAGTGAAGCTTTGAGTGAAAAGACATGGGACTAATTCACAACATGAAATTACCCTAATTAAATCTGCATCGTTACTGAATACTGAACGCTTTAAATTTTTTAAAAAACCATAATTAACACTAAAAAATTGATTTAAAAACCTATAATCAAAATAAAATGCTTACTTTAACACCTACAGTAAATGGAGAACGGAGTGTATCGTGTACTGAATGTGGAACATGCTATGCACATCTAGTAGAGGTTCCAGGCCAATGAGACCTGGCCAACACCCATCACTAGATTGAAACCACCACTACCCGTCATACAATAATTTGGCCCCAAAACGGTGAGTTCAATGGGACTGACAAAGCGAGAGGAGCTATAAATCTATAGTTTATTTTGCATTATCCTGGAAACAACTTTAAAGATATTTAAAAATACAAAAGAAAGTGACAAGTACTTTCAGCACATACCGTAGCATGATTCTGCAGTATACACTGGTTCTTATAGTATTTAATACTAATATTGGTGCCATCAGGAAGGCGTTACATCCAAGGTGGCAGAACTCCCAAGTCGAACGTACGTTTAGTATAGAGAGATAATTCTAGCATTTTGTCTTTTTTTTCACACAATATACACTCAAAATAGTTTGTGCATATACATATCTTGGCTTTCATCGTCCCAAATGCACCCATAAATTAAAGCACAGGTGCTGTACTCAATACTGATTTCAGTTAGTCATCCGATGCACATGATGTGTAATTACTCTGTGTAATAACAGTTAACAATGTTTCAGTTATACCAATTCTGTGTGAAACCACTTGAAGTTCATTGTAAAAACTTTTAAATTGCTCTTTACAATTTCCACACATGCATACGTTCTGCGTTGGTTTTAGTTCGAATATATAAAACATGACGGTTCCAGAGAATAAATAAGAAGGCTGCCCTCCCTGCGCCTGGGTCCTAAATATGGAACGTTTACAGGCCTACCCAACTACCAGACTCGGCACATAAGGATCCCGAATTAACCGGTATATCGCACCACACTACCCGTTTTCAAGGTGTGTGTCAGATCGCATTTCGGAGTATCATACCCCAGAGCAAATTTTGTACTTTAGAGTACTCTATTTTATTGTCTCTATGGGGTATATAGGCACTTTACGACATTCGGTTTGAATGTTTTAACCACTTTTGATAGGTATTGTATTAGATTAATGTGGCAGTCTAAGGTTGTTCTAGGTGGTTTTCAAATTTATGCACCCGGTTTTAAAATCATATAGCGATTTTACGACAATCGTTTACTATCCAATCAAGGTGACAGCCGAGCGTGGGCTCATCCTGTCGGTGTTCTGACTGATACTCCGAAATGCGATCTGACACACACCTTGAAAACAGGTAGTGTGGTCCGATATACCGGTTAATTCAGGATCCTTATGTGCCGAGTCTGGTAGTTGGGTAGGCCTGGTTTACATACTCTTGCCATACCAAATAACGTTTTGCCTAAGCACATTTTACACCGTACCGTGCTCTTTAGAAACAACGCAGCACAAAGTAATGTTAATTTGATGACACTTACTTGGACACGGTTGTTCGTTGCAGAGTTCCATCTCCCCCCATGTCCCTTGACAGTCATCTCCTCCATGAAAAGGTCCCACACAGGTCCGATTTCTTGTCCTCGTCCCGCCGGCACAAGTTACATTACAGTTGCTCCAGTTTTCCCATTCAGTGAAATATCCATGTACTTGTTGGCAAAACATATCAAAGATTTATTTGCTTTATTCATGATTCAAGCTTGTATGTGACTAAACGTGTTGAATTAGTCGGATGGCAGTCATTGTAATTGATACCAAAGAAACATATATAATGTAGACCTATAGTATTAGACTTGAAATCGTTGACAAAGTAATTAATGAGGTAGTTGAAGGAAAATTTAATAGTCGTAGTTGTTACAGTGTCATAAATGTAAAATGAGTATTCTTACTTGGGCAAGGGTGTTCATTGCATGTTTCTCTTTCCGTTGCGGCGCCCTGGCAGGGAAGACCGCCATGCATTGGTGGTTGACAAGTGCGGGTCCGAACGATATGTCCTCCCCCACAACTGACCTGGCACTGACTCCATGGTGACCACTCGGTATAAAACCCATCCACTGAAATATTATTGACGAGTGAGTGAGTTAGTGACTTATCGATTATAGAGATTGAAGAGGGAAAGGATTCTGAAAGATCTACCTAACATGTAAAGCAGGTTGTTGGTAACACTATTCGCCACTTGGGAAAGACAGTAAGCAGTAGTGCATAAGCCGGTTGCAATTGTTCATTTAATAAGTGGCAGTGAAAATAGGTAAAATGTGTGTTTTGTCGTTTGACAGCTGTCAGGAGTTAAGTGGTTTATTTTTATAAATATTTCGGTCCACTAGGCCTATTTATTCAATTAATTCAATATTGAAAATGTACCTGGACAGGGCAGATCACTGCAACCTTTTGTCTCGCGTAATTCGCCTCGACAAGATTTGCCGCCATATTTTGGTTCTACACACGTGCGATTTCTCTCCTGTGAACCACCACCACACGTCACATTACATTCTGTCCATTCCGACCACTGAGTGAGGTGACCATCAACTGAAAACATGCGGGATCACTGTACATATCAGGGGTAATGTGTCTTTGAAACTTTTAATCTAAAACATGAACTTCTCGTTATGTTCTAAAAGGTAAGAAAAAGACGTTCCTCATTTATATAATTACTGTAAGCGTAAACAACCGCACACGTTCAAAAAGGCTAAAAAGAATTCATGGTTTTCTTTTCTGGTTCACATCTGATCTCATACAACAAAATTGTTAAAGTTTAAAGAGCAAAAGCGATGTTAAAGATACCGTCATTATAACGGCAAACGGCAAACGGCAAACTCTTTTTTAATATTAAGGTAGCTTTCTTATTCATTATTTAGTTTAAATATTAATCATTTTATATGATGATTTTTAATGTCTACCTGGGCAGTTTAGGATATTGCACGATCTGTTTTCATGTACTTCGCCATGACAAGATTGGCCGCCATATTGAGGTTCTACACACGTGCGATTTCTCTCCTGTGAACCACCACCACACGTCACACTACATTCCGTCCATTCTAACCATTCAGTGAAGTAACCATTCACTGAAAACGTACAGTAATACTGTAAGTAAAAATTAGTTTATGACAATCTATAACACGTCCTTGTTTATGCAAGCTGGTACTTAAATGGTCAGAAATTCGTTTGTTAGTTTAATACTTTCAGAGTGCACTTTACAAATACCTGCATACACGGCATACGTAAATCACAAATTGCGATGATATATCAAGTGACCATTTGAAAAAACGATGGATAAGGGTTTAAAAAGATACATAGGCACACCATTTATTAAGAGGGGATGTTAATCATGACGATGACTTGATTGCATTATTCATTTTAGATATTTGTTTATGCAAGTACACTTGCATGCCAAAGGTGTTATAGAACACAGATCTAAGTGACTGGTAAAACTTAAAGGACTCAAACGACAGAGAAAAGAAAATATTGGCGAAAAGAACTAATCTACCTGGACAGGGTTGGTTATTGCAAGACTTGGGTTCGTACAAGGTACCATGGCAAGGTCGGCCGCCATATTGGGGTTCTACACACGTGCGGTTTCTCTCCTGTGAACCGCCACCGCATGATACATTGCATTCCGTCCATTGTAACCACTCAGTGAAGAACCCATCAACTGAAAATGCATTTGCTAAAGATAAAATGCATGCTTGTGGATTTGAAATGCGTGCACACGATGCGTCAAGTTGTGGTGCTTTTGGACACGCTACATGTACATTTGTTGGTTTATTTATCCTTTTATTGACAAAGAAAAGAGCGACATTCCAAACGGAAAAGGATACCCCTGGTAATATTTAAGATGTATACGCATTAACTTATCAAGAGGACGGGCAGAATCAATGTCCATTACAGGGTATTGCAGTTTGCTTTTGATTATGCTTTTACAGAATTACTAAGGCCCCGGAATACCC